TTTCAACCTTAAGATTAAGTTTGAAGTAAAGTTAGGCCACTCAAGCATGAAAAAGTGAGAAAAATAAAGAGGAACGGCTCTGTGTCACATGTCATAATACTTGTACGGCATGTCGCAATGCATAAGCCACTAGAATATAAGATTCACCTCTCTATATCACATGTCACGATGCATAGTACAAGCGTCATAGCGCACAGTACATTTTTTACAAGAAAAGAGACGTTAATGAATAGAAAAACAGAGGGAAGAGACAAAGAAAATGAAGAGAACAAAGAAGGCTCTGGCAGGGCTTTAGTTTTAATAAGGTTAAAGGTATTATGAAGCTACCAAATTTCCTAACCTATTCTTCTTCCTTTCTAACCCTTTTTTTTATGTTTTTTATTAGAGTTTGATAATGGGAGACCATTTTCAATCCATATAAGTTATGGTCCAAACCTATTAACACAAATAGAGTTAATGAGAATTGCTTGAGGTATTTAAACCTAAGGATAATGAATTTACACGTTTGTGGTGGTTATGGGTGTGTTAATGGCTAAAAATACCCTTTTATTGTGGTTGTTAGACTTAATTAGGAAGCCATTAATGATAATATGAGAGCTTAATGAAGCTAATATGAGCTAAAGAGAGTTCAATACTCAATAGAGAAGCCTAAATATAAGAAATAAGGGCTTTGGGTGTTTTAGAAATGGAAAATTTAGAGTTAGAAGTGTGTATTTAATAATGTTGATTAATTTAGACTTGATTAATTATAGATTAATCATTCGAGCACCATTTTGGCTTGGAAAGAAGTTTGGAAGCATATATTGAATAATAAACCTTTACCTTTTAAAGGTTTGAGGTAATTAGGAGAGCCTATCTTGAATAGTTGTTTGTTAATTGTGTTATAATGTGAAACATGAGCTTATTTATATGTATAATTGAATTTGTAAATTTAAAAGTATGCCATAAACCCTATGATAATATATTAAATTTGATTTGACTAAAATGTGGAGTTAAGCTGAAAATGAATTTCAAATTATGAACATGTAATTGAAATGAGAAGTAGATACTTTGTGATGTGATGATTGGTTTAAGTAGGAAATTAGTGATTGTGTAAAGTGGCAATTGTATGTGATGAATTAAAATTGTTCATGCTCATATGTTTTAATTAGCTAAATGATTTGAAAACGACAAGCGTGATATCGTAAATCACAAGTGTGCATAGATACATGAGTCAGTATGAGACATTACATGATTATTTGGAGGGAGTTCACCTAGAGAGAGGAATATAAAATTCATAGAGTATTTATGGCCACTTTTTAGTGCATGAAGGTTAGCCTTGTCCTATAGTTTATCAAGAGACTAGAACCTAACTATTTCTATTTATTGCGGGGATTAACGTAGGGTATATGACAACCTAAACATTCAAGAAATGGGTAAGCCATGGTTCATGAGTGAGTACTATGATCTTTAGTCGAGTTACACCTCACAATTGGTGAGCTTAGTAGTCTAGTCATATTAATGGAGCTCTGATTGATATTATGGCCCATGATTTTACTTGAAAGATAGAAGAAGGAATTGATTGTGCACTTATGTGTATATTTGACACGTCAGTTGGTTGTTAAGTTTGTGACAAGTCGTGATAATAAATATACCATTACTATATGATTGTTTGTATTGTGGTAATGTGCATCGAGTTGTGTATTAGGTCACTGTCATTAGTTTATGAGTATTGTGGCAATGTACCTTGTGATTTGAACCACAAAATAAGAAAATAAGCTTAATAGTGAAAGTTCAACCTGTGTTATATATAATCACATAATTTTAAGTATTCAACTTCATGTTGTGTGTTTTAATCAATTGATATACAACTGCATAGAGTAGATGTACCTTGGTTATTGAGTAGTTATGCTCATCCCTTTCTTTTAATATTTTACAGGCTCTAACTTTGGCCTAGAAAGGGAAAAAGCTCTAGAGGCTTAGAATTTAAGATTCCTACTATAAAGCCTCTTATTTTCATTTATTTTGTCTAATAGGTAGAATATATCCAATTAAGGTGCATTTTGTATACACTTACACTTATTGCTGTTTATGATTTAGGAATGTATTTTGAGCCTTTGAATGTGTATGTAAATTTAATTAAATGTTAATTAGGCTAAAATATTAGTGCAAGTGTAAGCAATATAGTTATATTGTTAAATTTGAAATACACTTATTTATGCAATGCTAAAACCTCCCCCTTTTATTTTTGTTGATATATGAGTTGATGATTGAAAATTTTATATTATTAAGTATATGTGAATGTGATGTGTTATGCAGGTAGTCTTGAGTTCATTGGGTGTGCTCTGGATGTAGGAATTGCTTTTGGTTTGGATGTAGGAATTGCTTTTAGCACATGTATGGGTTTTCAGGCATCCTTAAGTTGTGAATAGTTGTAAAAATGTGTTTGGATGTCCATCTTTCTCGTGTGACATAATTTGAAAGTAAAACATGTGCCATTAGTTAGTTTATGAAATAATTTTTTTAAACACCTATATCAACTTATTCGAGCATCAGACAAAGAAATGGAACACACCGAAAGTTGCCTCAAGTTGCTATGAAATAATAGCAGAATTAGTGTTTGATATGTGCAACATGTCGCAGTTCGTGGCACAAAGAAGGGCAGCTGGGCGCATGTGCACATGCCATAATGCCCTACTTTGTTTCTCACCACTCATTGTTTTTCAACTAATTTTGAGTCTTTTCACTCTCAATAGGTATCTCATGCTTCTAAAATATTATTATACTTTGACTTGAGAGTTCTTAATTTATATTTTAGTATTTTAAATTATAGAAAACTTAAGACCTCATTTTTACAAATTACAAACTAGGTAGCCGAATTGGATTAGCCCAATGATTACCTTAAATGTTGTAGTTAATTGTGATTTAGTAAGGGAGATATTTCACCCAATTGCATGAAGCTTGTTGATCGTAGATTGCAATAGAGATTGCCTTATGGATTTTTATCGAATCAAGATCCCCATGGCTATCTGTTGAATCAAGGTTGCCCTATCCTTAATCACAATAAAGATTACTATCTGATCCCTAATCGCCATTGTTGCTTGGAGCCTCATTTTTTATTTTTAATGTCAATGGCAGGTTCTCCTCCGTAAGCCCCTTAAGCTATTTTTTAATCTAAAGGGAGTAACGTGGCTAATATTAAAAACTACAATGATAGCATATAAAGAAAAACCAATATAAGTACTGAATTAAAAAATAAGGAAATTTATTGGAATGGTTTTCCCTTGCTTATTTATATTTTATACCTTTTAATCCTTGACTTATAGAATTCTAAAGTTGAAAGATATAAGGATGAGTTGATGTTGGATCCCATAAAAAGTAGACCTTAATAAATGGCAAATTCTTTTCGCTTTGCCATTTTGTTCTCAAGCAAAAATTTTAACCTATGATAAGGAGAAGAGTGTCATTTCTCCCTCATTGCTCAAAAGTCGGGGTGTTCATGAGATGAGACGAGATCAAAACACCCTTGTCTCGTGTCTCGTTTGTCCCGTGTCTTGTCTCAAAAGTCATCACATTCCGTTAAGAATCAAGACGTCCCGCTATTTCAATAAATCGGACAATGTTGAAGAAAGATCTAGATAATAACATTATTAAACTTTTAAATCATATAATTTATTAAATTTAAAATCAAAACAACACAAGCACATAAATCATAGTAATTTAAAGCCAATTATTAAATTACATTAATCACAACTAAATATTATGATAGTAATTATAAGTGATTTTTATGCTATAGAATTAGCAACAACAAGCAAGCGAAGCACAATATCAAATCGTTGTTCTTCTACTTTAGTTGAGATGTGTTAAGCTAATTACTCATCTAAAAATAAAGTAAAAATACGATATAAATAAAAGCTATTAAATAGATATATGTATATATATAAGAATAAATTATATTAATATAATTAATATATTATAAAGAAAGATATCGTCTTGTTTACTTTATATCATTAAAATTATCAATATAAAAAACTTTAGTATTATATAAGAATTGCAAGTATTGAAATTATAATTGATATAATTAACACAAGTATAAATTATATTAATATAATTAATATATTTAATATATATATTTAAAATAAAAATAATATATATATATATATAATATTTGAGAAAGAACAGGACGGGGCATCCAATAATAATTTTGTGTCTCATCCCTTCTCAAATCTCTTTTGTATTTTATCCTTTAAATCTTGTCTCAATTATTCTCGGATCGAGATAAAATCCGTTTTGATGTAATTGGGGCGACTGGACACCCCTACTCAAAAGGAGTTGGCATTTGAATGATGAGCGTTGTGTTACGGGACCATTACTCTCTTCTCAAAAGACTAATCTATTAGGGCATGTAGCGCACCCGTTTATATAGTCAGGACCTTCTCCAAGTCCCTCCGATGTGGGCCTTGACAGCTGGCTGCCTTGCAAGTTGCATGGAATTGGACACGGAGCCCCCTTCTCGTTGATGTGGCGTGCGGGTGGAGGGTTAATTAATTAATTAATGATTAAATTTTGCAACTTGGTTAGTCATTCGTGGTTGAAATTTGAATCCTAGGTCAACAAACATTCCATATGACACTATTAATTATTGGATTTAATCAGATCGAATGATAAAAAAAAAATTGTTATATAAAATTTAAAAATATTAAATTTTTAATTTTTATAAAGAACAACATAGGTTAGGATTGTTTTAATCATAAAAATTGTTTTACATTTTTTTAAAAATATAATGTATTTTGATGTTATAAGTATTGATAAACTTCACTAATTACAATTGAAAAATGAGCGGACCTGCACCACTTAGCAAGGATTCGAACTTTCGTTGAAACGGAAGAAGTGGGGCCGGACGAACATATGGAACGTGTTGATTTTTCATCCGGAAAAAAAAAAAAAAAAAACAGGGAGGTGAAAACGATCAAGTCCCGGTGATTTTCTATAAATGCGCACGTTCATCTAGCTTACGAGCCCATAGAGCAACACACGCCAATCAATCACACTGAACACTTTTCCTCCAGATATCCATCAGTATCAGCATAATCCCCTACATTGACGATGCTGAAGCTTCCGACGAGCACACAGTCAAGTTGTGGGTATAGCTATCTGGTGTTTCAGAAGCCATGGATAAATCTCCAGGGCGGCAAAATTCCTCTACTGTTGGGACGCTCAATCCCAAACCAAAAGAAACAGAAGAGGGTGGTTAGGGTTCGATGCTGCAGCAGTGGCATGAACGTCAAAGCCGTGGCCACCATAGGTGAAGGCGGAAGAGAAAACACGGAGAACAAATCAGCCAAGGTTAAAGTCACTTTAACAGTTCTGCAAACTGTTGAAGGGTACTTTTCGGAAGTCGGTTTCAACCGAGGGATCGACGATATCGCTGAGTTTCTCGGTAAATCTCTTCAAGTGGAGCTCCTTAGCGCCCAGCTTGAACCCAGTTAAGTATTCTGTGCTTCGACTATAGATTCAAAAAGCTCTTTCAAGCACATGTTTTTAGGTTTTCAGTCTTCCACCGACATGTTCTGGTCTGATACATATACATATGCATAGCGTTCATGGAGCAGCACACGTACGATATGGTGGTAGATCCGGACATTTTTTTTTTAATATCAAATTTACTGGGAGAGTTGCTTCCAATTAATAGCCTCACGATACTAGAAACTTTTTTTTTTTTTAACCCGCAAATAGCGGTTTAGAATTTTCTTAAAGCTTGCTTATAAAAAATATATTTTCTTACTATAAGACGTCCACAAAATTAGTATCCTTGGGCCTTTGGAATGGTTTTCATATTTTTAAGGTCAGTCCTTGTTAATTTTTAGAAACTGTAATAAAGATAATAATAATAATAATATAACACAGTACAAATCCTGAAAGCATTCTTTCAAAAAAACTGATCTGATGTTGCTGTAGAATCTGTTACATATATTCTATTTCATGAGGAAAATTAGAGCAAGGCAGAGGGAAAAGGTCATGTTTTTGTTTATACAAAGGGAAGGGGCATTGTCAAGAGATTGAAACCAGAGTTTTTCGCAGGGGTGAAAGTTAATTATGTTTATGATAATCGATGACTCGAAATCATCAATGACCAAGACCATTTCTTAATTTTTTTTTTCGTTTTCGTTTTTGTTTCTGCACGAACCTTGAGCACTTACCAGGAAGCATCCGCGGACCCAAAATATTGATAAAAATGTTCACCAAAAGAATTAAAAATTCCTGTGAAAAAAATTAAACGGACGGTCTGACACATTCAAGCAAATCATATGATATCTTCCAAGAAAACTTGACATATCCACACACTCGAAAACTGGGAGACCTTATCATCTCGCGAGCCATGAGGATGGATCACTGAATTGATTTGATTGAATTTATTTTCAGTGAATTTTTGCCCAATAGAATTAGGGGGATATTCGTGCCCATGAAGATAAGTTCAATGGCCAAGTGGAAGAGTGGTTGTGATATTTTGGGTCGGATTAAATATTGTTTTTGTCCGGGTACGCGTGCACGCGCGCGCGAGAGAGAGAGATTGATTTAAAAATGTTAGGTGGATGCTGGTCTCGTGACCAAAAGAAAAAGTCCCCACCTTGGCCCATGGGCAAGGACGGAAAGGGTGAGCGATCTTTTCATTTTTTCTCTCTCTCTCTTTTTTATATTTTTTTATTCTTATTATTTAAATTATTTTATTAAATAATTTTTTTAAGTGATAAAATTAATAAATGATGAAAATAAAAAAAATAAAAAAAATAAAAAAAGTGAAGAGACTCTTGAAAATGCCAAAATGTAAAAGTACGAGCGAAGAGTTGAAGATAGGGCCGCAGGGTAGATCCTTTCATAATTTCCTCTCTCTTTTTCTCCTCCTCGCCTCGTCTCGTCTCGTCTACACCCTTAAATAATAAAATAAACGATTCAGATTTGACTATTTTTTACTAATAATTTTAATTTAATTATTTTATAAAATAATTATCATATAAAAATAAATAAATTTAAATTTAAATTGTTAAAATTTAACCTGCACAATCCAGTTATATATTATTATTAATTTTTTTTATAAATGAAATATTTGTTTATTTATTTTATTGTAATACTGTAAGTTAAACTTTGATTGTTTAAAATTATTTATTTATTTTACCATGATGCATTTGATTTAATTAATTAAGAGAGTTAAATTAATTTATCCTGTAATTTCAAATTTAAATTTTAAAATATACAGTTATATTAAATAGATATGATAAAAATATTTTAAAGATACCTGTGAGACTGTGGTGATAATAAAAATCTCATATAATAGGGTTAAGATTAGTGCGGGTATTCTTTGCCTAATCTAAAGACAGAACTGAGACGTAGGAAAAAAAAAAAAACGGGGGAAGGGGGCGGGCTGCGCAGGGGATCCGCTTCCTTGAAAGTATGAGGTAGCGTCACGAGTTGTTCCGTCAGTGTTTGATTGAGATGGTAAATTATGAAATTTAGAAATTGAGGTTTAACAAAAGGAATTGGTTGTGGTGGAAAAAGAGACGGGATTAGAGAAGGAGGCGATAAAAGGGTTCGTGCACAGGACGGGGCAAGAGAATCAAGAGGTGAAGTACGAGGCAGTGGTAGAAGTGGGAAGCGAATTTGGGGAGATAGGGGCACTGCTGGTAGAGAATGAACACCACAAGGAGATTTTCCTCAAGGACGTCCTCCTCGAGGGCCTAGCTGCCGGCCCCCTCCGCTTTTCCTGTAACTCCTGGGTCCACTCCAAGCACCAGAGCCCCGTCAAGAGGGCCTTCTTCCCCAACAAGGTACCCTCTCTCTCCCTCTCTGATTATGATTATTACTGCTTTATCAATTCTTGATTATGATGCGGCTCTTGCAGTCTTATCTGCCGTCGGAGACGCCGGAGGGCATCCGGAGGATAAGAGAGGAGGAATTGACCGTGGTGAGGGGCAACGGCACCGGAGAGAGGAAAAGCTACGAGAGAGTGTACGATTACGACGTGTACAACGACCTCGGAGATCCCGACAGCAAGGACGATCTCAAGAGGCCTGTTCTCGGCGGTCACCAGCACCCTTATCCCAGGCGCTGTAGGACCGGACGTCCCCGCTGCCACAAAGGTTCGTCCCTTTCACTTCCTCGTGCTTTCCTCTTATCCCACCCCCCCCCCCCAAAAAAAAAAAAAAGGGATCATGTGCTTCTTTGTACTCTGCCCCTCCATTAAAAAAAAAAAAAAAAAACAACTAAAGCAAGCTAGAGTTACAAAACCGAAACCATTCCAATTACTGACGCCCTATCTCCCGCTGCCGTGTATCTATCATCGTCCGATCCTGTCCCCTCCGGCCCCTCTTTCCAGTCTTTTCAATTTTCTTTCCTTTCCTTTTTTTTTTCAAATAATTTTCTTTCCTTATTTTGACTGTTATCGATACCATGTGTCTTTGATGTGCTGATAAACCCCAGCTATTATTTTTTGTAATTATAATTGAAATCAAGAGTTAGAATAGCTTATAAGAAAGAAATTCAAGAAAAAGTTCTCTTATCATCATCTATCACCTTTAAATAAAAAGAAAAAAAGTTGATTAAAAGATTAAAACACACCTACTCAACTACTCTATTTAAAATAAATTTAGTTAAAAATGAGCATAATAAGTGACTTCCTTAAACATATAATTAATCAAAATATCTCATTCTTTGTTAAAAAGGGATTGTGATTGATTAATAATATTCATAAACAGGTGAAAATTTTGATTGAAATTAAAAAGAAGGTTCATTTAAAATAACATTCGATGCTCATGATAATCACCACGTGCTTGTTATCTATAAGATGATTTGGGTTTTTTATTTTTTTCTAAATAATTTTTGTCATAAATTTAAATTATTTTCATATTATATTTATTAAATAAAAATATATAAAAATTATAATATCAAATATGGGTTACTTTTTATAGATGAACTCTGATAATGGATAATTAAAATTTAATGTAAAAAAATATAAATACTCTCTCCATTAAAAATATAAGACATTTTTTTAAGAATTTGATATTAAAAAATGTAAGATATTTTTAGCCTTTTGAGATGTAATTATTATCTTTTCTTTTAAAAATACCCATATTAATAGTGACTTTATATTTATTATAGGGTTGGAATAAATATAAAAAGATAAGGTTAGTTTAAAAGTAGATAACTATTTTATTGAGGATAAGATTTAATTAAAAATATCTTATATTTTTAAATGGAGTAAGTATTTAATAAATAATAACTGTGTTTATCACTGATATGGCTATTCAAGATTTAATCTGACTTACTCAATTTAATATTAATTTTTTAATAATTTTTATAAATTAATTATTTAAATATAATTTATATAGTGCAATTATAATTTAAAATTTCATAATTTTAACTAATTGATTATATATATTTTAGACTATCTAAATTTAATATTATAATTACAATTTTAATAAATATAATATAAAAAATTTAAAAAATAATTTTAAATCGATAACAGATATCATTTAAAAAAGAAGGAGAGCTCAAGTCACCCCTGTTGGACGATGAGCATTCAATGTTATTGGAATGTCACTATCAATTGGAGGATACTTCTTACTATTCCTTTTATTTTAAATTATAAAATATTTTTAAATAAAATTTTATATATTAACAAATTTTATTAAGTATATTTAATAATTTTATTTTTTTTAAAATAAAAATATAAATTTTTAAAAATACTCATAATTTAACATTAATAAAAATATAAATATATATATATTGAAAAGAAAATGAATAAAAATTAATTATAAAAAAAGAGTAATATTAAAATTAATGTATTTAATGAAATTATAATCTATTTAAAGTATTTTATATTTTAAAATAAATTTTTTTTAAAAAATATTTTAAAATTTGAGAGAAGAGAATAGAGTAAACTATTTCTTATCTAAAGAAATCTTATCAATTATTTATTTAGTTAAGATTTTTTGATTTTTTTTTAAAAATTGTATTGTTTCTTGAGAGATTGCATCTGGGCTTCCAACAAGGCTTGAAAAAATTACCCATGATAATTCAAAATATTTCAATTGCCCCCTTTCCAAAAGAAAATGTTTAGTATTTCTTTCAAAAAGTTTCTCTCTCTTATCCTTCTAAAACATTTAGTTAACTAAATCTTAATATATATGTTATAATCTTAAGTAAATAGAAGAATAATAATTTAAAAATAATTAATATTTTTTTAGTGAAAATTAAACCATACTTTTTGGCCTCGGATCACTTTGTTTGTATGGAATATAATAAATTAATTAATGTGGGAGGTAAACAGATCCATTATCAGAGAAAAGAAGCAGCAGCGTGTATGTGCCGAGAGACGAAGCCTTCTCAGAAGTGAAGCAGCTAACGTTTTCTACGAATGCGGTGTACTCAGTGTTGCATGCCGTGGTCCCTGCGCTGCAGACCACCCTGGTGGACAAGACTCTCGGCTTTCCCTTGTTCTCCTCCATTGATTCTCTTTTTAACGAAGGGGTTAACTTGCCTCCCCTTAAAACCCAAAGCTTTCTCAGGACCCTTTTGCCTCGCCTCGTCAAGTTCATCAATGATGCCGAACAAGACATTCTCCGTTTCGAGACGCCCTCCACTATGGACAGTAATTTACTTCACCCCTCACATTTCCCTCGTTATTAGTCTCCTCCTCCTTTCAACTCCTATCGGTTTCACTCTTTCTATTTGGAAACTGCAGAGGACAGGTTCTTTTGGTTTAGGGACGAGGAATTCGCCAGGCAAATTCTTGCAGGTCTCAACCCTTGCAGCATCCAATTGGTCACGGTATATTTCCTCATCCATAACTCAATCCTATATATCTTTCCTCACAGTTGGCAATTAAAAACCTCTCGGTGTCTGCAGGAGTGGCCGTTGAAAAGTACATTAGATCCCAAGATCTATGGCCCCCAGGAATCAGCAATCACCACTGAAATCGTCGAGAGAGAAATAAGAGGTTTTGCCACTGTCGAAGAGGTAAAAACTATGCTAAGCCACTGATACAAACATGCTGCAGGATGCGTAATTAATGAAGTTGAAAAACTTTTCAGGCCATAAAGCACAAGAAGTTGTTCATCCTCGACTACCATGATCTGTTACTACCATATGTGGAGAAGGTCAGACAACTTGAAGGCACCACTCTATATGGCTCCAGGACACTGTTCGTCCTGACCCCAGACGACACTTTGAGGCCTTTGGCCATCGAGCTTACTCGGCCACCTATGGGGGACAAGCCGCACTGGAGGCAAGTTTTCACGCCGGGCTGGCACTCAACCAGTGTTTGGCTTTGGAGGCTCGCCAAAGCCCACGTCCTTGCCCATGACTCCGGCTACCACCAACTCGTCAGTCACTGGTACGTCACAGTTCCATCAACCTTATACTGCGACCTTGGTATTCTATTCAATTCTAAATCTTGCATTGTTAACAAATTCTGTTAACAAATTCAATTCAACCGCGAATGTTGTCTTCAGGCTGCGCACCCATTGTTGTACGGAACCATATATCATTGCGACCAACAGGCAGCTTAGTGCAATGCACCCGATCTATAGGCTACTGCATCCCCACTTCAGATACACGATGGAGATAAACGCTCTTGCTCGTCAGGCCCTCATAAACGCAGGTGGAATAATAGAGAGCTGCTTCACTCCTGGAAAATACTCCATCGAACTTAGCTCGGTCGCCTACGACAAGCTGTGGCAATTCAATTTACAAGCCCTGCCCGCCGACCTAATCAACAGGGGATTGGCGGTGGAGGACCCCAATGCTACCCACGGCTTAAAGCTGATGATTGAGGACTACCCTTATGCCAACGACGGCCTCGTTCTTTGGGACGCCATCAAACAGTGGGTTACCGACTATGTCGATCGCTACTACCCAGACCCGACTTTGATCGAATCGGACTATGAGCTCCAGGCTTGGTGGGAAGAGATCCGAACCGAAGGCCACGCGGATAAAAAGGACGAGCCTTGGTGGCCGGTTCTTAAAACACCCAAGGATCTCGTGGAAATCGTGACCACCATTGTTTGGATAACATCGGGACACCACGCGGCGGTTAATTTCGGGCAGTACGCGTATGCCGGGTATTTCCCCAACCGACCCACGATTGCCAGAACTAATGTGCCGACGGAGGACCCGTCCGGCACGGAATGGGAACTTTTCTTGGAGAGGCCAGAGCATGCGCTATTGAGGTGCTTTCCTTCTCAAGTTCAGGCGACGACGGTGATGTCGGTGCTAGACATTCTGTCAAGTCACTCGCCGGACGAAGAGTACCTGGGGAGCGTGATCGAGCCGTCGTGGGAGGAGGATCCGATGGTGAAAGCTGCGTTCGAGCAGTTTCAAGGACGGCTGAAAGAGCTGGAAGGGTTGATCGATAAGAGGAACGCAGATCCAAATCTGAGGAACCGAAACGGCGCCGGGGTTGTGCCGTATGAGCTTTTGAAGCCGTTTTCTGAAGAACCAGGAGTTACTGGAAAGGGAGTTCCGTACAGTATCTCCATTTGAAGTTGCCAAACGTGGTCGTTATTTTTTATGTTACCGTTGCAGTTGAATGCTTCGATTATAAGATTTAGCTCAAGAAGAGAGGTTAATCATGTACTCACGCATTTGGAACTGCCTCATCATGGACCTTCGGGTTGAAATTGGTCTCGATAAGATGAAGTTATTTTGAGCTTTTCTGGGGTCTTCCAATTGTTTATTAATTTTCGTTGAATTATGTATTTTATAATTACTTTTTTAAAATGGTAAAAGATTTAAAAGCATATTAAATACCGTGATGGTTAAAAAAAAAACACACAAAGATACAAGCCACTTGATGATAATTCAAAGTGGTGAGGGTAACGATAATTGTAGACTTGTGGATAAAAATTCCCGACGAGAGAAATAAAAGATCCACATAGTATTACACTTGATCATGTTCCCTGTTTGACTAAAAAAAATGTCAATGATGAATTGTATTCTCTCCAATTTTTAATGTAAAATGAAATTTGAAAATTTTTTATCCCTTATACAAAATAAAGTTGGAGTATTTATTTATTTTCGTAATTTTATCTCTTATTTATTGTTGTTTGAATTTTTAAACAATTTATTCTGATCATTAATCACAAAAAAATGTAATAAAATTGGAAAGTTACAAATTTTAGGTTATAACTAACGTTTTTTAATAAGTACAAAATTTGTTAATTTTATCTTATATTAAGGAATAACTTAATGAACTAGACTTAGGACCTGTTTGTTTAAAATTAAAAATAAGTGATTCTTAAATGGTTTAGAGATTTTATAAAAAGTAGACATTATTTTATGTTTAGTTAAAATAATAAAAAAGTTATTATTAATTAGTTATTTTTAAATTTTATGATACCTTTTTTTATTTTTATTTTATAAAAAGTATTTATTTTAAAACTTTATAATATTTTCATGTATCTCGCCTTCTTAAAACACTCTCTATCTATTGCATTAGATAATTTTCAAAGTTGCTTTTTAAAACAATAGAAATCTTTTTTTTTCTGATTATTTTCAAAAGTTTTAAAAAAATATAATAAAAAATCATAAAATAAATTTTTTATAAAATAAGCCAAAACAAATGGCTCTAATTTTACTAAGAAAAAATTGCTTGAGATTCTTTTTAAGAGTTAAATACATGAGGAAATGCTAATTTGTAGGGAGAAGTTATTGGAAAGCGGATCCCGTTTCAGTGCTAAGCAGTGTGATTAGCAAGAGAAGCTCATCACCAATCACAGTTTAATCAAAGTAAAAAAAAAAAAAATCTTGGTCATCCATTATCTTCTAATATTAGCTGTTGATTTATTTATTATTTTTTCACCTTATCAAACCTTGATGACTCTACCCTTCCATTATTCGTGTTCCTTTCTCAGCTTCTCCCAAAACCAATTCACCCAATGTGAGTTTTCCAATTTTTGGCCTATCTCATCAGCAATTTCTTTGGCTCATTTATCTTTTTCTGTTATCGATGGGGAGGCTTGGAGGTATCAAATTTGGTTGGACGTGCTGTATTCTTCCATGAGCCTTGTGTTGAAAGTCGACGTCTTTCTAGAAGCACCAAACCTCCAAACTTCGGTGCCAAGCAACATTTTATTTATCACATCCGTTTGTTTCGCTCGCATATCACATTCTGTCTTTTTTTTTTTTTTTTGCTAATATTAATATTAAATATTTGATTTTCAAAACAGCCAAGAAGGACGACACCGTTTGTGGATGAGTGACAAAATCAGTGAATCTCAAAATTTATTTTTTATTAAAGCTATGCGTTTTTGTGTGATGAGCTACTCTTGCTTAGCATTATGCTTAGCAGGGAAACTGGTCACAGCGGGGCGATTCCACCTTTTGGAAAGGTCTCATAAAGCCACACCCTAAAGTGGTGCCTTGTTTTGCTTGGGAGCTGCGGGATGGGTTTCAGGTGTTGTTATCAAAACATATAAGTGGCTTGATGATGGAAGGCCACTGTTGAACATTGTACAACCCAATTGTCCATTCAGATCGTTGATATGAGAGTGTGCGATGCTGTGGATTTAAATGGAGATTAGAATTTAAATTTTTTGAACGTATACATTGATGATAACGTAATGTAGAAAATTATAGGTCACCAGGCCGCCCAACTGTGAAATGAGGATGGGAATTATAGAATCAAGTGGGGAAAAGAGGTTATTGGCACGAGGTTCTCTGACTTAGGTCCCCTACACTTAAGGATTAGCTTTAGAATCTGGTTTTAAGATGAGAAGGATGTCAGAGAGCTTTTAAGAGTATCAGTTGATTTAAATCAAGTCTCATGTATCAAATTTAAGAATTTACAGTTCAATCTTTTAATACAGTTACAAAATTAATTTAAAAAATATATTTTATTTTTTAATCATATTAAAATTTAAAAAATAAGTTATAAATTTATCATGATACAGTTACAAAATTAAAAAATATACTTATAAAATTTTAAAATTTAATTTAAATTAATTGATTATTTTGAAATTTTTTTATTATTTTTGCTTTTAAGGTGGAGAGGCTCAAAGAGAATCCAAACGTTCACGTGACTGGCTTTGCATGAAGGGTCAACAGCTGCACGGTGAAGAAGCAAGATATTTGGGACGCCACCTAATTTTGTCAGATGGATTAAGGAAATGAAAGATGTACTTCATGTACTCTCTGACTATGGATCAACTCAAGAAGAAGCTTAGCCCGAATGGAGACTTAAACCATTTCTTAACGTCGAGCGAGAATGAACGGTTTAATAAGTAGAATTCGAAAGGCAAAGGGAGAGTTGCTTCTATTCCTTGGGATATTATTTTTGGAGTAGCCGTTTGGAGCCTTTGGGAGAATAGGAATGACACAGGAGTTATTTAAAATTATTTTTATTTTATTATTTTAAAAATTAATGTTTTGTAAAATACATTCTAAAAACAGAAAATAATAAAAATTGATATTTTTTATTTTTTTATTCTCCGGAACAATAATCTCAGAATATCTGAAAATTGTTTTTATTTTTTACTCTCCAGAATAATATTTTATTTTACATTCTCTAAAATACTTTTTAAAAACACTTTATCAAATAAATTTTTTTATTATTTTATTTTAAAAAACAGAAAATTATTTTCATAATAAATTGTCAAATAGGCCATAGTATTCAATCATGAAGACAGCGCTGTGGAAAAGTTCATCAAACGAATTCTCGGCCATGCAAGAAATATTTACAGTGGCCTGGCAGGGGAGGGTAGCTGCGTAGGTGGTCAGACGATTCAAGTTAAATGGGATGCTCCAAGTCGTGGTTCCGTGAAATTGAACATCCACATAGCTACCAAATGTTCATTCCGTGATGCAAACAGTATAATAAAATAAGTTTTTTATATCATTAATTAACGCCAATTTTATAAAATATTAGGGTGAAAAAAAAGCCGGTGGTATAAATATAATTATTTATAAGAGTTTTAATATCAATTAGACAAAAAAACTGATGTAAAAAAGCTATTTTCCATCACCGAAGTAAAAAACTTTCAAAAATTTAAAAAAAGAAAAAAAAATGCATGAACTTCTTTGAAAACTGACGTGAGAAATATTTTTAAAATAATTTTTTTTGAACTTTTAAAGTGAAAAAAAACATCAGTTATTTACTTGATTTAAAATCCTATTTTATATTTTAGCATTTTTTACTCTTTCCTTTTATGAGAAAACTGTTTTCTTGCACCCATTAATTGTCCAAAAGGTCTAACCATTCACCCAATGGTTGGGCCAGGGCCTTGAGTCAAGGGATACAAGACAACATAATTTAAAAATTAATAATTTAACGAATAATATTTTAATTTTTTAAAATTAATTATATTAAGCAAAAAATATAATAACATAAGTAGAAGTATACATATTTTTATTAGGCAAAATATATTAATTTTTTTTGTCAAAAATATTTTGAGAAGATTGATATCGAATTTAAATTTGGACCCCTAAATATTTTTGATCAAGTCTACAGGATTCAAAATTCTAAAAATATAATGTGCAAGATTATAAATTTTTCATATCATATATGCAATTTTCCTTATGTGAGGGGATGCACCCCCCCAACATGTACATGAACAGCTAGTGCATTCATCTTAGTTGTCATCAACTCATGCTGTTCTCCATCTGTCCAGCACTATCCACCGTCACTTGTTGTTTTCAATATTTTAGGGGTTAGTGGGTTTCATTTTAAAGGTCATTTTCTCCATTTGCTTTCCTTCCTTCTTCCCTTGTTGGTGTACTTCTTTAAATATATTTTCTCTTTAAGTTCTTTCATCTTTTTTTTCCTTTGTTGTTTGATTAGACAACTTTTTAAATACATTTTTCTTCAACCTTTTTAGACCTGTAATTCAACTCTTCTCTTCTTTCTTCTTCCTTTCTCACTCAAAGCTTTCATGTTTCTTATCCTCACCATTTCAACTTAATTATTGGTGTAGGTGTTACTCATCATCTTCTCTCATCAAAGAGTTTTTGCAAATAGAGTATTTATTTTTGTCAATTTTTGTTGCCTATTGGTATTACAAATGGTTTATTCAACTAAATATTTGAATAGTTAGGTATTTTAATAGATGAATAAGTGCCTTCAAATCTTTATTTTAATCTTCTAAATTTATATTTTATGATAGAAGGATATTTGTATAGATGAATTTGGGTATTTGGATTGTTTGGTTAGTTAGTTAACTTTGCTATCGAGGTTAGATTAATTATGTATTTTTATCAAGTTTGGAAAACAAGGAAAAATTCAGCTAAAATTTTCAAAAATTTAAGTAAAACCTTATATTAAAATAGTCAATGCTATTATTAAATTTCTCATTATGATTCTACTGGCTAGCTGTTAAAACTTATTGTATAATCTATACAATTTACATATTTTAAGTTCTAGACATATAGAAAAACAAATAATTTTTTAAAAAAATGCGCTGTTAATAATGGTTATTTAGAAAACCGTCATGAAAAATTTTCACAACAATTTTTAAAATAATCATTATTAAAAGTGTATTTAAAAAAATTCACAATAATTTTTTAAATAATTATTGTTAAAAGTGTATTTTTTAAAAAAAATTGCTTGTATCAAATGATTTTTCACATTGGTTATACAAATAACCAACATGAAAAGTTAACTTTTTATTTTTTTATTTTTTTACTTTCTCTTAATAATTAACATAAAAAATTTAAAATAA